ATAATAGATTATCTGGAAGTATTAGATAGCTATTCTAAGATTTTTTATTTTAACTGGAGTTTCGTACTCCTATAATAGATTATCTGGAAGTATTAGATAGCTATTCTAAGGTTTTTTATTTTAACTGGAGTTTCGTACTCCTATAATAGATTATCTGGAAGTATTAGATAGCTATTCTAAGTATTTTTATTTTAACTGGAGTTTCGTACTCCTATAATAGATTATCTGGAAGTATTAGATAGCTATTCTAAGGTTTTTTATTTTAACTGGAGTTTTGCACTCCTATAATAGATCTTCTAACATGTTTGTTTACATTACCAGCTTTCTCATTGTGATCTCGGTCACGTCCTGCTGTCTCATTCCGACCTGAACACAGACGGAACCTACCTATGTGAGGTTTCAGCAGAAGCACCTTCTTTTCATACTGAACGTGCCGAGAGAGAACTACGTGTTTATGGTAAGGTTTGAAAGCGAAGTTCGTTCCGAACCAATATACATAATACTATACATATTACAGAATTATTTCTTTTTACTGCATTTCTCTGCGAGTTATTTCATTAGTTCTTACATTCATGCGTTACAAGTAAAGTCTCATATTTGGTTAGGGTTATAGTATTAAATAAAACAAAATTTTCAATAAAAGCTTTGAAGCTATGAGCACTAATAATTATTATTGTATCGTTTTCATTTTTTTAAAAGTAAAAACATATTCATCATTTTCTAATATTTGTTTATCAGTTTAAATGGGAAATTGTAACACGAATCAAAGGTTTCTACATGGATTTCTATAGAGGCGCTAGTAAATAATATTCAGGTTATCAGTCGTTTCGTCTGAGTATATTCTTCCTGTTCTCTTGTTATATCACGCTTTACGATAATTTCTATCTTAATTGAAAATCATTGATAAACTGCTGTACCTTTTTGTTAAACCAGGAAAATTTTCATGTTTTTGCTGCCGATATGTCAAAAAAGTAATAGCTAGGTAATTAGTCACTATTATCATACGGCTCAAGTCTGTTTGCGTTCTGTAAAAACAAAGTAATATAATAGTTCTCTATTTTAAAGTGAAACAAATTTCTTCACATGATCCATCTCCACCTGTAAAGTTTTAAATTAGAAAATATAACAAATTACACCAAAATGTTGTGCATGCTATAAACAAGGGATTCTAGACAAACTTAGGTTTAAATAAAACGAAACTTTTGTCGTTTTAACAACATTTGCTAGTAATACACTTACAGGTTGAATTTATACTGAAATTGTAATACATCGTTTAAGTTTAGCTGTTGGAGCGTTTTGATAATGAAAACTAAGACATTTATTATTGCAAATTCGAACGTTCAATGTTCCTATAGAGTTTGTTTGTAGTTGAACAAAAAGCTACTCGATGGGCTATCGGTGTTGTGCCCACCACGGATATCAAAACCGTTTTTTAGCGTTATGAGCTTCAGATTTAACACTGAGCCATTGGATGACTCTTATAGAGAGTAAAAAATTTAAATATTGCACGGATGAATTATGAATGTTGAATATGATATTATTTCGGGAATCATTTGATCCTTCATTTGTACATAGCGTGGTCACAAGTAAATAGACACCACCTTTTCAGAAAAAATGAAATTTTTCAGTCATATTCACAT